GCCGAGCCGGGCAGGCGCACGGGCGGCGACGGGCCAGGGCGGGGCCGCGACGTAGAGCGGGGCCGCGTCGAGGGGCGGGGCCGCGACGATCGGGGCGGGGCCGCGACGTAGGGGAGAAGCCCGCCGCGCGCCTCGGGGCGCACAGCGGGCAATGAACCGCCGCGCGCCTCGGGGCGCACAGCGGGCAGAAAACCGCCGCGCGCCCCGGGGCGCACGGCGGGAAGAAAACCGCCGCGCGCCTCGGGGCGCACGGCGGGAAGGAAAACCGCCGCGCGCCTCGGGGCGCACGGCGGGAAGGAAAGGTAGCAGCGGAAGCGAGGTGGAAACCCACCCACAAGATCGATCCAAGGGGATCGACCTGCTCTGATAGCATGACAAAAGTTAGAAGAAGAAAGAGGATTGAACTAGCAAGAATGAGGATACAAATAGCAAACCCTAGAAGGGTTGTACTCGCTATAGAGCACCCCACTACAGGCTAGAACAAAAAAATAATATTCTGACAGCTAGGGCGGCTCGGGGAAGGAGTGGCCCGAGGCGCGACTCGGGATGAGTGCGCTTCGGGCAGGAAAAAAAAAAGATTTCGAGTGGTGGGCCCTAGGCACAGTTCCCACAGGGGAAGCTGCTCTATACCATGTGAAAAAACTGAACGAGAATGAATCAACTATGAATGAAGTGAGTACAAATATGAAACCCTAATTGGGTTGTACCCCCTATGGGATACCCCACTATAGCCAACACAAATAAGTAAGCTATAATGTTCTGACATGTCCGTACTGTCACGTCTGCGCCGGTCAAGTAGCAGCGCCACACTTTGAATGCGTGCACGATCGCGAGCATTTCGCGGTCGTGTATCGGGTAATTTCGCTCAGGCGGATGTAGTTTGCGTGATTCGTAGGCGATGGGTTGGAGGCCGTCGCCGAAGTCCTGTAACAGTACAGCTCCGATGGCGATGTCACTTGCGTCGGTAACCACTTCGAAAGGGCGGTGGGGATCAGCGATGCGTAGAACGGGTGGTGAACAGAGAACGTTTTTTAGGGCAGAGAAGGCAGCATGCTCTTTCTCCCCCCATGTAAAAGCGACCCCCTTACGCAGTAAATCAGTGAGTGGGGCTGTTAAACGTGCCATGTCGGGCACGAACCGTCGAACGTAATTAACAAAACCTAAAAAACTATGCAGTTCCGTGATGTTCGTCGGGGGGCGCCACGCTTTTACCGTATCCAGCTTCTTTGGGTCAATCTCAACCCCAGCCTCCGAAATGACGTGACCCAAAAACTCTAGCCTGTCCCGAAAAAACTCGCACTTGGAGCCCTTGGTGAGTAGCCGATGTTCCTCCAAAACCTTAAAAACTGCTTCAAGATCCACTAAGTGTTGCTGCTTATCCCGGCTGTAAACTAGAATATCGTCCAGGTAAACTATCACGCATTTATCTAAAAGTGGTCTAAACGCCTCGTTCATGGTCATCTGAAATGTCGCAGGCGCGTTCGTCAGCCCGAATGGCATTACTGTATGCTCGAATGACCCGTACCTAGTCCTAAATGCTGTTTTGGCGCAGTCCGATGGTTCGACCCGAATCTGATGGTAACCTCCCCGTAAATCTATTTTCGAAAAGACTCGTGCTGTTCGCAGTTGGTCGATCAGTTCGTCGGCGCGGGGGATGGGGTATCGCGATTTGACTGTTACCCTGTTAAGCGCTCGGTAGTCGATGCACATGCGGAACCCTCCGTCTTTTTTCGGTGTGAACAGTATCGGTGCGGCGAACGGTGACGAGCTCGGACGGATAAACTGCTTCTCTAACAGGTAATCTAACTGCTTCCTTAACTCGTCGAGCTCGGGCTGTGTCAGTCAAAATTGCCGCTGTACAGTTGGCTGTGCCCCCGGTTCTAACTCGATCCTATGGTCGTGCGCCCGCTGAGGTGGCAGTCCCAGTGGTAAATCATCCGGAAATATCCCCGGGAACTGTTTCAGTAGTGCCTGTAGTTCGGTCGGTACAGTTGCCAGCAGTTTCTCCAAATCACTCGGCTGCTCATCTTTTTCTACGAGTGCGATATCCACTGCGTACACGTCAGCTCCAGCAGCGACAGCCCGTTTCATCGTGATAGCGTTGACCTGGACCGTCGAAGATTTGGGTGGCTGCCAGCGAGGTAGAACGACCCAGTTACCACTACTTCGCACTGTGCAGCTCCCCGTCGTCCAGTCGATCCGTGGGTTGTACCGTCGCAGCCAATCACGTCCCAATAAAATGTCGTGCCCATCCAGTGTCGTCGCGAGCATTTCCTGTGTAAACCCGAAGTTCCCCCCGCAGCGGACTTTTACGCGCTCCACCTTTTCCCGTATGGCCAGGGGCGTGCCGTCGACTAAGCGTGCATCTATCTCAGGTAAACATCGGTTAAGCGTTAATTGTAATTTTCGTGCGGTTGCGGTATTAACTAAGCTGTGGCTTGCTCCTCCGTCAATGAAGATCTTCACTGCTGCTCCCTGTATTTTCCCGTAGATCAGTACCGGGCAATCCATCGCTGTACCCTCCTTATTCATCCGAGCTCGATCGATGGCGTGAATCGGTACTGTGACTCGGTGAGGGTCGGTGTGGTTGGGCGAGCAGGCAGTCTCGTCAGTAGTTGGCCCAACTTCTACTGACTGCTGGCGTTTCCCTGCCTCCGAGACTCCCTCCCCTGCTCTGCTCCTCGACGCCTCAGCTCCTTTGGACATTCGCTCTTGCGATGGCCCGGCCGGTTGCAAGCAAAGCAGCGCCCTCTAAACGGCGCGGCAGTTGCATTCGCTGCGACGGCATGTACAGTGGCGTGCTCGGTCGGTCCCCGAGGACGATTTCCGTAATAGGACCCCGGTCTCGCTCGGCGTAGGATATCGATTTTCTCGGCGAGCGCGAGGATCTCGTTGAAATTCGAGAGCCCGCGTAGCATTATCTCGTGCGAGATGTCCGGCTTCAGCCCTCCGACGTAACGGTCCACCCGCTCTGCCTCGTGCATGTAGCCGACCTGTTCGCAAAGTGCGAGAAACCCGCTGGTGTAGTCTTGAACTGACCCGAGCTGGCGCCAAGTGCGCAGTTTCGGACGCGCCGAAATCGAGGCCGCGATCGGCTCAAAGCGCGCCCGAAGCCCTGCGCACCACGCATCCCACGTGCTGTATTGGGCGGTTTCGCAGAACGAACTCCAGGTAACAGCTGGACCCGAGGGCCCTTCCTCGTGCGACGGTGGCTCGTAGGCGCGCGGCGACGTCACAATGACTCGCCACCAGTCCATGGCGGGGCCCCTGAGTAGTGAAACCGCATACCGGATCTTGGCGGCGTCCGACTCGACGTAGTTGGCGTCGAAAAACACATTCATCGTGAAGACCCACGATTGAACTGTCGGGCCGCCGCGTTGGCTTGGATCGAAGCAGGGCGGGCGTTGCGGCTTGAGTGGCATTGGGGCCATCATGGCGTTCTCGCCACTTGTCGCCGCAAACTCCACGTGCCGACGGGCTTCTCGGGGCTCCCGTGGGCTTAATGCGCTCCTGTTCCCTCCCATGCCGGGCATCGGTTGGGCTGCGCCGTCACTGGCTGCGCCTGAGCGCTGTCCCGTGCTGTTGTGTTGCGTTGGTGTGCCGGATGAGATGACGATGGGCTCCTCCGAATGTGCAGATGCATTGGTTGGTGCATGTGATGTCGTCGGTACGTTCAACGTTGACTGTTGACGGGCGGAGTCACGTTCCGCCGTGAGAGTCGCGATTTCGAGCGCCGAATCCTCCAATTGACGCACGAGACGATCGAGTTGCTCCTGCGTCAACGTGGCGAGATTGAAATCGGCCATGGCGGGGGTGTCGGGCAAGCTCAGCGAGAGCCTCGGTCGTGGCCGTGCGTGCTTTCGAGAGAGCACTACGAGCGGCGGTGCTGTGTCGCTGAGAGACGTCTACCCCCCCCAAAAATTGAGATAGTGGGAAGCGAAGGTGTGGGTGCGGTCCGAGATGAGATCGTAGGCTCTGAATACCATGTGTTACGAGTGCAATTGAGTGAACGAACGAGAATTGCACTATCGAAGCAAGAATACAATTGAGCGAAGGCATGAGCGAACATTATATAGCGAAACTATAGTGGTAACGGTAATGGTCGCGCGACGAGCCTGGGACTGAGGTTTGGAAAGTGTCGAAGCGTAGGCCCGGAGCGCGGGTTACCAGCCGAGCCGTGAGGTCGGGATGCGATGTGCGAAAAGGGCGGGATGATGAATGATGCGATGGTCGCGAGTGGTAACGGTGCTGACTGAGGTGCTACAGTGATGTACGCGTTGAGCAGGGACGCGAAGTAAGGAAAAGGGAATTTCCTTACACCTTCACTCATTGTACTCGTTTTGACACCTTAGTGCAATTCTCGCTACTTCGATTCATTGCACCCGTAACATATAGATATGATTCCGCGGTCTCGTCAGGTTGACGAGATGATCCGCTCGCCTGCATCCTCCGCCGTCCCCTTTTCTCGGGTTGCACGCGCACGCGCGTCCCCCCCCTACTCTGCGCTGCTCCCCCATAAAAAACAACCCCAATTTTCCCCCAACCCCAATTCGTATTTCCCGCCCGCTGCATCCCGCCCGCTCCGCGTTCCGTCCCTGGCTGCCTTGCTCCTCCCAGGCTGCATCCCATGTGTAATTGCCTGGGATTTACCGCCATCTCTCCCGTCTCGTCTCATCTCGTCTGACACAAGTTCCGCTCCTGTCCCGAACCCCGACTCCCGAGTGCTGTTGCAGCTCGATCCGACTACTCGTTTCCATTTTGCTGGGCTAGGTTCTCGATCTGAGATCGAGTCGGGGCGCGAAGATTTGCTCCGTCTAGTAGGTTTCAAGGGTTGACTGCTATAAGGTTTGAATCGAAGAAGATCAAGTTCAGTCGATCCGGATTTATATGCGTTTTTTTATCATCTGCGGCCGGTGCGAGGGGCCATATCAGCCGGCCTTTGCTGCTGTAAGAGTATTTAAGGCGAAACCGATAATAATAGAGACAGAGTATCTTGGAGAATGAGCAGCAGCGAGGCAGCGGCCGTGGCGACGGCCACGACCGGCGTAGTTAAGGAGGAGAGGAAGTCAGCAGTTGTGGAAGCGAGTGCGCGATCCGGCGACAGGGAGGCCAATGGGGCGATCGGCGACGTCAACCGACCAGGCGACGTCAAGCGACCAGGCGACGACGCTGTGGCACCACTGGATGACGACGTGGTGGAGCAGGCGAAAGAGAGCGACGATCGCGAACCGACACCGCCTGATACGGTGTGAAGCGGCGGTGGGAGTGTACGATGATATGCGAATGGGCTTCTCGAATTATCATGCGCGAGGGAGATTAGTAGATAACCTAGCGCGATGGTCTAGACGGTTGTAGGGTGTGGTGGCGGATAGTGATGGCAAAGGAGAAAGAGAGAGAGAGAGGGAGGGAGAGAGAAGAAAAGGGAAAACGGCGGATCTTGTATTGCGTGGTGACGGAACATTGTATCCAGCAGAGAGCGCACAGGCGAGGTGCACGTGTAAGGAAGAAAGGACGAAAGTACTGATGGAGATTCACATATTAGCTCGTCTGGCTGGTAGTGTTGCGCTGTCACAGCATAGCACTGATCACCACGGATGGTCACAATCCGTCACCCTCAGCGAGATTGCGTACACACAGGACTGGTCACAAGCCGGCATCCTCCTGTCCGTCTTCCATAGCTGTCTCTCTTACGCCTCTCCACGCTTCTCCCAATCTTCCCTTCCCCGCCCCTGCGTGTCCACTTCCCCGCCCTTGCCCAACCCCCCGGCTCACCCGCACAGGACGACGCAGTTGAAGATGATCCGATAGTGCCCGACCCGTTAATCACAACGGACATGCTGGCGGAGCAGCGGCAGCTGGAAGCGGAGCGGAGGCAGCGGGAGGAGCAGCAGGACGCGGAGAGCGAGGAGCGCATGAGGCGCGAGGGCGTGGAGTCGGCAGCTCTCACGAAGCTGGACGTGCTTCTGGAGAAGACGAAGCTGTTCTCGGAGTCGCTGCTGCAGCAGATGGACGACATCACTCTGCTGGTGGGTGGTGGGGGGGAGGGAGGGAGTGGGGGATGGAGGGAGGGAGGGAGGGAAGAAGAGAGGGTGGGAGGGAGTGTTTGAGGGAGGGAGAGTTGGCGCCCTGTGCTGTGGCATGGACTTTGTTTGTTCGTGGTTGGAAGAGTGGGTGCATGAGACGGCGTGGAGTCGCTGCTGCAGCAGATGGACGACATCACTCTGCTGGTGAGGAAGGGGGGGTGACGGGGGAGAGAGGGAGGGAGGGAGGGGAAGAGGGAGGGAGGGAGGGAGGAAGGGAGGAAGGGAGGAAGGGGAAGAGGGAGTGACGGAGGGAAAGAGGGTAGGACGGAAGGAGGGATGGATGGAGGGAAAGAGGGTAGGAGGGAAGGAGGGAAGGAGGGATGGATAGAGGGAAAGAGGGTAAGAGGGAAGGAGGGAAGGAGGGAGAAAGGGATGGATGGAGGGAGGAAGGGAGGGAAGCGAAGGAGAGAGGAAGGATGGGGAGGGAGGGAGGGAGGGAGGGAGGGAAGGAGACAGGGAGGGAGCGAGGGAGGAAGGGATAGAGTGGGAAGGAAAATGGGGGAGGAAGGAGGGAGCGTTCATGGTAACGAGAGTGAACGTGCCATGGCACGTTTTGTGCCATGAATTTACTAGTCAGTGTCTTGGAATGTCTATGCGTGAGTGCAAATGTGGGAGTTACAGGGCAGTGAACAGAGTAGAGTTGTTTTGTGCTGATGTATAATGGCGGGAACAAGGGCAAAGTCTTTGGTGCTGCTGCTCTGTATTCCTTTCCCCTCCTACCCTTTTATCTCCTGTTCCTTGGTACTTTTCCTCTCAGTCTTCCTCAGCCCACACACATCTACGCCCCTGCCATGCCATGACAGGCACGGTGTATCCCATGCCAATCCCACCACACATTTCCCCTTCTCTCCCTTTTCACGTCTCTCTCCAACTGCCGTCCTGTCCTCTTCTTCTCTCTCCCCGCTAACAACCTCCCTTTCTTCCTTCCTTCCTTTCCCCTCTGCTGTCTCCTCCCCCATTTAACCCCCCCCTGCCTCTGCCCATACACAGCCTGTCCCTACACCCCCGCCACAAGCAGACTCCAAGGGCGAGGGGGGAAAGAAGCGCAAGCGAGGCGGCACGGGCAAAGGGAGAGGGGTGAGTGGGTGCCGGTGGTGGATGCTGGCTGGATGATGGGTGGGTGGGTAATTGTGCAGTTGTGAACCCATTTCTGCACATCCTGTGCTGCTTTTCTAGGCTCTTATCGTACCACTTCTTTTCGTTCTGAGAGGCTTCTTTCCTCCTCCCTCGTCCCTTTCACCGATGCTCATCCACCAATCTTCTCCTCTCGACGCCATATCCAGCGAAAAAAAAAAAGCAAGACCGACGCGCCAGAGGAAACTCTTCAAGAGAAGATCTCAGCCGCTCCTTCGGCAGCAATCAACGGCAGCGGCGATGCCGGCAGTGGCGCAGCAACCACCAAGGAGGAGGAAGAAGCCGCGTTGCTCCGAGAGCAGCGGGAAATCGCACCGAACCTCACAGGATGCACGCTCAAGTGGTATCAGATCAAGGGCGTGAAGTGGCTGATTTCGCTCTGGCAGAACGGGCTGAACGGCATCCTGGCGGATCAGATGGGGCTGGGGAAGACGGTGCAGACCATCGCGTTTCTGGCGCATCTCATGAGCCATGGGATCTTCGGGCCGTTTCTTGTGGTGGCGCCGCTGTCGACGCTGTCTAACTGGGTCAACGAGGTCAAGAGGTGGGTGCGTTGTGAGGAGAAACTGGGGAGGTGAGGTGGGCGTGGAAAAGGAGGGAGGAGGGAGGAGAGGTTATTGCGGTGTGAGGAGAGGAGGAGAAGGGGAGGGGGGGGGGGGGGGTAAGAATGGTGTTAAGGAGGTTGCATGAGGTGTTGTGAGGGTTTCTTGTGCTGCGTGTGCAGCGCGCTGCCAACTTCACTCATTCGAGCTGGATGAACTAGAGATTAGATATGCAATCTTAAACATCTCAATTGTCATTCCTTTCCTCTCTATTTCATCCAACCGAACTGCACACCCCCCTTTTCTTCCCCCCTTCTCGCTCCTGACCCACTGTTCCCCTACTTCCGCCCTCTGTCACCCTTCCCCCTCCACCCCCCCCTCTCGTTTCACTCTTGACCCGGAACATCTCTCCATGTTAACACCCACAACAGGTTTGTGCCTACAGCGAATGTGCTTCTATACCACGGAAGCAAGGACGTGCGGACAGAGCTCCGGGAGAAGCACATGCCCAAGCAGGTACAGGGGCTGAGTTTTGAGTCGACTCAAAACTCGACTCATCACACGCGGATTTGGAGTCGACTCAGAACTCGACTCATTACACGCGGATTTTGAGTCGACTCAAAACTCGACTCATCACACGCAGAGCTCCGGGAGAAGCACATGCCCAAGCAGGTACAGGGGCTGGCTGCATGGCTAGCCATGGCAGGAGAAGAAGGCGGGTATGGTTCTCTGAGTGGGTCGAGAAAATCTACTTCGGTAATCTGGGCATGCACTTGGCACGGCACGGCAGGTAATGAGGCTGGTTGGTCATGGCAGGAGAAGAGGGTGTATACTGCAATTGCAGTGAGTTGACTTGATAACCACGGGACCGGGGTAGCTCGGGCAAGCACGTTCCACGGGCTGGTGAGGAGGGGAAGGAAGGGGTGCGTGCGTTGGAAGGGGCGATTGTGGAGGTGGAGTGGAGGGAGGGAGGGAGAGAAGGTTCAGTGAGAGCCTGTTGCTGTGGTGATCATCTCATCCTGGAGTGTGACTGATGTGAATGGGAGAGAAGAGAAGCTTATTTTTTATCCTGTACTCTAGTGTGAACACAACAAGCCAATACATTTCCCTCGCCATCCCCCTCCCCGTTGCCCTCCCTCTCAGCCCCCCTCCCCGATTCCTGCCCCCATCTCCGTCCCCACCCCTCTCCTCATCCCCCTCTTCACCCCCCTTTCCATCTCCCTCCCCAACCCCCCCCTCATCCGGTTCCCCAACCCCCTCCCCACGTCCCCGCGGCTAGGTGCGGGAGGGTTTTCCGATAATAGTGACGTCGTTTGAGGTGGCCATGTTTGACCGCCGCCAGCTGCAGCGCTACCACTGGAAGTACATCGTTGTGGATGAGGTGTGTGGGGCGTGGGCATGGGTATGGGTATGGGCGTGGGTATGGGCATGGGCGTGGGTATGGGTATGGGCGTGGGTATGGGCATGGGCGTGGGTATGGGCATGGGCGTGGGTATGGGTATGGGCGTGGGTATGGGCATGGGCGTGGGTATGGGTATGGGCGTGGGTATGGGCATGGGCGTGGGTATGGGCATGGGCGTGGGTATGGGCATGGGCGTGGGCATGGGCATGGGCGTGGGCATGGGCATGGTAGTAGGTGCTTAGGCGTCACGAGGCAGTGGCATTTCCAGCTAGCGCTGCGCTGCCGTTGGAATAAGTATTGTGAAGCTAACATTTTGTACATTTCTTAAATGTGGACCTAACAATGTTTCTGAGGTGAGGTCCCTCCTCCTACCCCAACCCACCCACCATCCCGTCAGGGCCACCGCCTGAAGAACATGCACTGCCAGCTGGTTCTCTTCGCATGCGCCCCAAACCTTCCTTTAAACCGCTCCACCCCTCTTTTACCCCACCCTTCTCCTTCTCCAACCCACCGTCCCATCAGGGCCACCGGCTGAAGAACATGCACTGCCGGCTGATTCGGGAGCTGAGGCACCGGCCAGCAGAGAACACGCTGCTGCTGTCAGGCACGCCCCTTCTCCTTTCCCCATCCACCCTCTCTCCCGCCAGGGCCACCGCTTGAAGAACATGCACTGCCGGCTGATTCTGATGGCCTAGACCCTCTTTTGAACTGCCCCGCCAAACACTGCTCCTTCTCTGACCCACCCACCCTCCTCGCCATCAGGGCCACCGGCTGAAGAACATGCACTGCAAATTGATTCGGGAGCTGCGGCAGCTGCCAGCGGAGAACACGCTGCTGCTGTCAGGCACGCCCCTGCAGAACAACCTGCAGGAGCTCTGGTCGCTGCTCAACTTCATCCTCCCGGCCATCTTCTCCGATCTCCATGAGTTCACCTCCTGGTACGCTCTCAAACCCAACCAAAAGGTGGGTGGGTAGCAGCAAGCTCTGTTGGTTCTTGAGAACTCTCAACAACCTGCAGGAGCTCTGGTCGCTGCTCAACTTCATCCTCCCGGCCATCTTCTCCGATCTCCATGAGTTCACTTCTTGGTACGCTGTGCTCCTCCGGGGCGTGTATGTGGGTGTGGGGGTGTCCATGCAGGTGTGCCAGCGGGTGCGTGCTTGCGCATCTGTGTGCGTGTCCGCATGCATGCATTTATCCCTCAGGCCTCATACTCACACCTGCTGTTTCGTCCTTTCTTCTCCGCCCGCCCTCGCTCCCTCCCCTCCTCCTTTCTTCTCTCCCGTCCTTACTCTGTGCACCTCAGGTTCGACTTGGCAGGGAGACAAAGTGGCGGAGTGGATCAGAAAGTCTTTGACAACGAGAGGAGGTCACAGGTGTGTAGGGAGTCCCAATATTGTGTCAACACATTGTTTTCGACAACGTTGCTGGCTCATTTGTCTCTTTGTGTAACTGGTGTGGGTGTGAGTGTGTGGCACAGCCTAAGCACGAGCTGTCCTTACCTACCTATTCCTCTTACGCGCTTCCTCTTCCACCCTCTCTCTTCCTCAGTGTCGTCGTACTCGTTTCTTAAGTCGACTCAATGGTCCCACCCGTGGCACTTCCTTCTCACCCTGCCTGCCTGGCAGGTGGTGGCGAAGCTGCACCAGATCCTGCGTCCCTTCCTGCTCGTTTCCGTAGTTGTTCCAAAAGTCTCATCCGTGTATCTTCTGCCCTGCTCTGCCCTGCCTTCTCACTCTGCCTGGCAGGTGGTGGCGAAGCTGCATCAGATCCTGCGTCCCTTCCTGCTGCGGCGTATCAAGGCGGACGTGGAGCAGTCACTGCCCAAGAAGAAGGAAATCGTGCTCTATGCTCAGGTAATTGGTTCACGCATAAGCATCTACACACGCAGGCACCTGGGTTCCCTCCCTCTCTCCCTCCCTCCCTCCCTCCCTCCCTCCCTCCCTCCCTCCCTCCCTCCCTCCCTCCCTCCCTCCCTCCCTCCTCCCTCCCTCCCATTCCCCCCACTCCTCTCCTCTCCTCTGCTTAAGAAACTCCGCTCTGCTCCCCACTCACTCATTGCATCGTGCTGTGTGCATGTGTGTGTGTGTGTGTGTGTGTGTGTGTGTGTGTGTGTGCGCGCGTGTGTGCGTGGTATCTATGTGTGTGTGTGCCTGTGCGTGTGAGCAGCTGACAGCACACCAGAGGGAGTTCCAGGACCATCTAGTGCAGCGCACTCTCGCAGACTTTCTCAACTCCACCGTCGCCACCTGTACTGCCCCTCATGCCCCTCATGCCCCTCATGCCCCTCCTGCCCCTCATGCCCCTCCTGCCCCTAGTGTTCCTCATGCCACCCACCCAAGCAGCCACATGCCCACCCTCACCTTCTCTTGCGAATTTTCTCTATTCACTTGTTCTCTTCTCTGTGTTTGAGAATTCACAAAGAGTGGCCCACCACACCATGACGTTGCCCCCACCTCCATTCTCCCTCCCCCCACCCCCTCCTCCGATGCTCCTCACCTGCAACGCCCCCTTTCCTCCGTCGCCCCTCACCAGCCATGTCACGGCATCGACTCAACAATGTGGTCATGCAGCTGCGCAAGAACTGCTATCACCCGGACCTTTGAGGCGTCTCAGTAACCTACTCCCTCCTCCAATTCCACTCACCTCCACTCCCCCGTCATGTTTCCCCTCCCCCGTCATGTCTCCCCTCCCCGTCATGTCTCCCCTCCCCCCTCATGTCTCCCCTCCCCCGTCATGTCTCCCCTCCCCCGTCATGTCTCCCCTCCCCCGTCATGTCTCCCCTCCTCCCGCCCCCCTCGCCCACCACCAGCCATGTCGCGGCATCGACTCAACAATGTGGTCATGCAGCTGCGCAAGAACTGCAACCACCCGGACCTCCTCTCCTCGCAGTTCGACGGCTCCTGTGCGTGTCCCTTCCTTCGTTCCTGCCCTCCTTCCCTCCTTCCCTCCTTCCCTCTTGCGCTCCTGCACACCTGCACTCCTGCCCTCCTTCCCTTTCTCCCTCCTTCACTTCCTTCCCGGCTGCCCTCCTTCCCGGCTGCCCTCCTTCCCTGCTGCCCTCCTTCCCTGCTGTCTCTCCTTTCCTCCTGCCAACCTTGTCTCCCCAGGCTATCCTTCCAGACGCTCACATACACTCTCATACACGATGCCACGCACGTACACGCACATGCACACTCGTGTGTACACACACACACGCAACTTCCCTCCCGCCCCATCCTCCCACACACACCCAAACACTTGCGGCCATGCTCGGCTCACAATCCCCACACGTGTACCCGCCTGTGGAGGAGATGGTGGCGCGGTGCGGCAAGCTGAAGCTGCTTTTTTTAAACGACTAAACAATCCCCCCCCCCCCCCCCTCCCTCCCCCCCCCCCCCCCACACACTGCTAACACGCACCCATTCACACGACCCTCAGACGTGTACCCGCCTGTAGAGGAGATGGTGGCACAGTGCGGCAAGCTGAAGCTGCTGGACCGCCTGCTGCCCCAACTCAAGTCCAAAGGGCACAAGGTAGGGGGGAGACGGTGGGGGAGGAGTGAGCATGCGGGAGGAGTGGGAGGAGGCGAGATGAGTGGGAAGGCGAGTGGGAGACGAGTGGGGACAGAGTGGCAGGGGGGAGGGAGCAGGGGCGGAGGGGGACCAGGTAGGATGGATGGTGCGTGCGTGGTTGGGTAGGAGGGGCGGAAAGGAGGCACGGGGCATGGAGAGACTTGAGATGGCTCAAGAGTTTTCAGACGTCTCAAAACTCAAAGGACGGGAATGAGGCACGGGGCATTGAGAGACGAGAAGGGAGCCGTTTGTTTCTTCAAGGCAGGCGTGAGTCTGTGAGTCTGCTTGCCCGCCCGTTGATGTTTCCTTCCAACCGATCCCTTACCCCGTCCAAATGTAACTGAGTCGCCTCAAACAGGAACTTTCTCTCTTCCTGCTTCTGCTTCTGTGGTGATGCCCTGCCCTTCCCCCCAGCGCAGCGCAGGTGCTCACCTCCTCGCACATGACACGGCCGCTGGACATACCGGACTACTATCTGGAGGAATGTCGTGGAGACTATTATCTAATAAGAATCATCTTTCTGCCTGTGTATTGCCCCTTCTCCCCATGTGTTGCCCCTTTTGTCCCCCGCCTCCCCTCTCTCTCAGGTGCTCATCTTCTCGCAGATGACGCGTCTGCTGGACATACTGGACTACTATCTGGAGGAGCGCGGCCACCACCCCTTCCGCCTTGACGGATCCGTCAAGCTCGACGATCGGCGGCAGCAGGTGGGAGGGAGGGCAGAGAGAGATGGGAGAGGGAGATTTTGAGGGGAGGGAAAGGGAGATGAACGGGAGGTGGTGACGAGAGGTAGGGGATGGGAGAGGGGTAGTATTTTGAAACCACTCAGCACATACCTCGACAACCAGCAGCACAAGGTGGGAGAGAGTTGGTCGTGAGCGGGGGGACGCATTTTTATTGGACTCACAATACGCGTTGATGACCTCTGTGGAGATGCCTCCCCTCCCCTCCCCTCCCCTCCGCTCCCCCCTCCCCTCCTCTCCGCTCCCCCCTCCATCCCTCTCCATCTCTCTTTCTATCCCCCTCCATCCTCCTCCACTCCCCTCCACCGCCTTTCACACCCGTCTATCCCCCTTCACCCCTCTCCGTCCCCCTGGGTGCGGATGGCAGATAGAGGAGTTCAACACGAGTCCAGAGGCGTTCATATTCCTGCTCAGCACGCGGGCAGGCGGGCTGGGAATCAACCTCACAGCAGCTGACACCGTTATCATCTACGACTCAGACTGGGTGGGTCAGTAGTTGGCGGTTGTATGCGGTTGCATGCGGTTGTAGGCGGTTGTAGGCGGTTGTAGGCATGCTCCCTGTGCCTCCTGCTCCTCTACCCTCTTCCCCCCTTGGCCCACCCCCCACAGAACCCCCACCAGGACATGCAGGCCGTGGGCCGCTGCTGCAGTGTTTCCTCCTGCTCATACTCTTCCTTCCTGCCCCCCTTGCGTTCCCTCTCCCCCTCACCACCTGTCGCCCCTCAGAACCCCCACCAGGACATGCAGGCCATGGACCGTTGTCACCGCATAGGGCAGACCCGCCCCGTGCACGTGTACCGCCTCGCCACTGCTCACTCCGTGGAGGTGAGGGGGTGCGGGTGCAGAGGGGTAGAGGGGGTGCAGAAGGAATGAAGTGGCTTGCAGGATGAGAGGTGAGGAAAGGTCATGGAAGGGTCAGACGCGCCCCGTGCATGTGTCCCGCCTCGCCACTGCTCACTCCGTGGAGGTACGGGTGCTGGATGTGGCGCGGGGCAAGTTGAAGCTGGAGACTCAAAGCACACCCCTCTCCTCTCGCCCTCATCCTCCCTCCCTCCCCTCTCCAATCAGTGCCGGGTGCTGGATGTGGCGCGGGGCAAGCTGAAGCTGGAGCATCTGGTGATTGAGAAGGGGCAGTTCCAGCAAGACAAGGCCGCTCCTGCCAAAACCAAGATTGACGTGAGCGAAGGGGTGAAGGGACAGGGGGAATGAGGAGGGAAACGGCGGGGGGAAGGGTATGTTGCGATGTATCATGCCATCTGGTGATTGAGAAGGGCCAGTTCCAGCAAGATAAGGCTGCGCCTGCCAAAACCAAGATCGACGTGAGCAAGAGGGTGAAGGGGGGCAATAAAGGGGGAAAACTGCGGTGGGGGGGTATGGTGGGATGTGTCATGCTATAGGGAGAACCGCCTGTGCTTTTTGAATCATGGGGGAAGGAGCTGTCTATCCATGGTGAGGTGGCTGTGGGTGCGTGAATGCGCGAATTGACTTTTGAGTCGACTCAAAGGCCGTTGGTGCGTGGATGCGCGAACCACAACTCCTCCCACCCCACTATGTGCATGCGAGTAACTTTTGAGTCGACTCAAAAGTCACCTTATTCATGGTGAGATGGCTGTGGGTGCGTGAATGCGCGAACCACAACTCCTCCCACCCCACTATGTGCATGCGAGTCAGAGGTGCTGTCACAGCTATGTCTGGAGCGCTCACAGCACGATGAGCTGAGCTGGTGCAGTGGGCTGGGCAGAGATTGACCTGTTTTGCAAACACTCTCCCCTCCCCCACCAAACCCTGCCGCCCTATGCACAGGAGTCAGAGGTGCTGTCACTGCTGCGCTCGCAGCGCTCGCAGCACGATGAGCTGGTGCAGTCAGCAGAGGTTAACCCGTTGCTTGGGCGCCTCAAAAACATTTCCCCCCCCGTTCCCCGCCGCCCCCCCATGCGCAGGAGTCAGAGGTGCTGTCACTGCTGCGCTCGCAGCGCTCGCAGCACGATGAGCTGGCGCAGTCAGCAGAGACCAACCCGTTCCACAAACACACTCACACGAAAACGCCCTCTCCTTTCCCCACCAAACCCTGCCACCCCACGCGCAGGAGTCAGAGGTGCTGTCACTGCTGCGTCCGTAGCGGTCACAGCACGATGAGCTGGCGCAGTCAGCAGAGATTAACCCGTTCCACACACACACTCTAAAAAACGCCCTCTCCTTTCCCCACCAAACCCTTCCGCCCTATGCACAGGAGTCAGAGGTGCTATCACTGCTGCGTCCGGAGCGCTCGCAGCACGATGAGCTGGTGCAGTCAGCAGAAATCAGTGATGAGAACTTGGACCTCCTGCTGGATCGCACCGACCTGCTCCACTCTCCACCCAACCCTCCTCCTCCTCCTGCTGCTGCTGCTGCTCCTGCTGCTGCTGATGGGAATTCGAAGGCGAGTGGTGAAGGGTCGGGCAGAGGGGGAGAGAAGGCGCCTCGTGTGGTGCGGTCGCTGCCAGTGGCCGGGCCTGGATGGGAGGTGGTGGTTGCGGGCACAGCACCAAGCAGTGTCCTTTCCTCCATTGGCTGATCCTTTCACCCCTGGAGGAGCACGGTTTGGAGGAATTCATGCGGTACGGAACGGACGGATTGGTTTCGGTTGATTTAGATTAGAGCAGGTGAAGCTGCACGTGACGAGGGTCAAGGATCATTTCAGATTTACCGGTAGTGGGAACTTTGCTGGGTTGGTGTGGTGCTGGGTTAGATTGGCAGGACTGGGACCCGAACTGTCACTAGATCTGCACTGTGGATTCCCGATTGATCCTGTAGAGGGTTACAGGCGCGTTCGCCTGGGGGGTTAGGGGCGCACTGACCCGCTACTGAAACAAGCTCTTTTATCCCAATGGTCTTGTGGTTGGGATTCTGACACGAACATGTACGGTAGCCACACCCTATGGCTTTTGTATGCATGGGCTTTGTTCTCGATAAAAGGCCGACATGTGGTGGTGGATGGTAACTTAGGGCACTTCCATTCCATATCTTTGTGTCTCAATCTTCACCTCATACCGTCACCCCCCGGATATACCCCCATGGGGGGCTATAATATAACATGTTTTTTTGAGGGGGTGGGCTTATAATATAGTAAATTTATAAGCGCCGGCGTTTATAATTTGTCAAAATTGAAATTTGTTTTTTAATATACCAAATCGAAGCATTCTCAAACGCGGATTCACCTGGGTCGAGAACGTTCGAAACTGTGCATGCATTGCGTGTGAAACAGCCAACAAGGCGTGGCTTCACGCCTTCCACGCCTTGTTGGCCAGGCCAGGTTCATCGAACGTGAACCTGGCCCATGCCAGTGCACACGTACCTCGCATCACAGCGGCCCAATCAGGGTTGCATGCGATCGTGGGCACGTCGTGGTTCAGCCACGGTGTGCCCATCAACAGCAAAATTCCCCGCCACCGAGGCAAGGAGCTGCCCAGCTCAGCTCCTCTGCGGGGAATCTTGACTGGGGCCACCCTTTTCCCGCAGAGGAGGCCGGGCCGCGAAAATGAAGGGGTCTCGGGCGAGGGCTTCATACAGCCCTCATTCTCGACTTTTGCCTTCAGTTTCTTTGTTCGTTTGGCCTGCCGTGGCCATGGCGGGCCTTCCAGGCACGCATTTCTTGTTCCGCCGCCATCCTGCTGCCAGAGAAAACACCCGCCGAGACACCTGTGACTACTCTCAATGGCAGTCGCGCCCTGCGCCCGTCCCTCCGTGTCAACCAGTAGCTCCTCCCGTTCCTCCCACTCCCCCAACTCCTCCTGCACCTCCCGCTCCCCCGGCGCCTCCGGTTCCTCCAGCTCCTCCGTCCCCTCCTGACCCGCCTGTGTTTTGTGCTCCACGTCAGGGGGTCCTGCAGCTTCTCCTCCCTCCTGGCTACTCGGCGTTTGACGCGTACCTGTCCGAGCCCGACCGCGCCGGTGGCGCATCGTCTTCCTCCGCACCGTCGCCACGCTGGGGAGCCCCGGCTGATTGCCCGTTGGACGAATCCGCGACTGGTGCGGAGGATGACGTGGAGTTTTGGGCTGCCGACGGTCTTCCAGAGCACCTGCCTATTCCCACCTTCCCCCCCCCCAATAAGAAACGGCCCCACCCTTCTCGCGAGAATCGCGATGCCCGTCCTCCCTCCCCCAGGCACAAGCCTTCAAGTCACAAGCGGCACTCTTACACATCGCAGGAGAAACTGCAGTGGATTCTCAAGCTTGAGTCCGGGCACATGAGCGTGCGGCAGATGTCTCGCCAAACCGGCATCTCCCGAAGGTCACTCGCAGAATGGAAGACCCGGAAGGCTGACCTGGAGGGCGCGCATGCTGCTCGCAAGCGTCTTCATGGGCGCGGAAGGAGCTCGTGGTATCGCGACATGGAAGCTGAAGTCTACAGGAGGTTTCTTGCCCACCGTAAAAAATGTCTCGCGGTCTCGATTGCTCGCCTACAGAAGTGGTCGCATGAGGTGATGAAAGAATTGCACCCACAGGTAAAGTGGTCCGGCTCGCAGCGGTGGACTGAGCGGTTTCGCCGCCGTTGGAATCTGACAACCCGAGCGAAGACCAGGGTCGGCCAGAAGCTTGCTGCCAGTGAGTTTTGTGGGAAATGGTTGCAGTTTAATGTGTACTGCTTTGTGTTGTTTGTCTCTTTATGTTTCACGGTTGAATTTTAACGCGTCATTAATACTCTCTTCTCTCTTTCCCTCCCACCCGTACTCCCAGACTGCGAGACTGACGTCAGGAATTTCTGGAAGTTCGTGCGTCACACCCGCCGCCAATACAAGATTGACCCGCAGTGGATAATAAACGCGGACCAGACACCACTGTGGCTCGAGATGCCTGCCGAACGCACAGTCGAGGAGGTGGGTCTGCGCTCTGTGCCTATCCGCAGCGGCGGCTATCAGAAGGAGCGAGTTACGGTGATGCTCGCCTGCACTGCCAGCGGTGAGAAGCTGAAGCCGTGGGTCTTCTTCAAACGGAAGACCCTGCCTAAAGGGGATTTCCCTTCAGGTGAGCATTAACACCCACTGCTGCATGTTTTTTTTTTTTTCTATGTCTACTGATGTTGTACGTGCGTTTATGGCTGTGCAGATGTTACGGTGTCCGTCCATCCCAACGGTTGGATGGACGCGGACGGAGTCATCGAGTGGCTCGACGGGGCAGTGAAGCCGTTCGTCCACCCCAAGTTCGGAGTGAGGCCCCGCAAAGCGATGCTCGTCTTGGATTCGTACCGCGGGCACCTGACTGCGGAGGTGAAGAAGAAGTTCGGGGAGCTGAACATCGTCCCTGCCGTTATCCCAGCTGGCTGCACCTCGGAGATTCAACCTCTGGACGTCGCGGTGAATCGCTCCTTCAAGGCATCCGTTCGCCAGCTCTACCAGGAGTGGTTCGAGAGCGAGGGGGTCGACACCTTGACAAAGAAAGGTGAGAGAGGCAGGCCATGCGTGTGCTGCTTTAACAGTTTGTAGCGGTGGCTGACTTTTGATTGTTTAAATTTTATGGCAGGCAACATCAAGAAGCCACCACCCGAGCTAACGCTCAAGTGGATATCAGCGGCTTGGAAGGCCGTGCCCAGGGACTTGATTCAACGGGCTTTCCTCACCTGTGGCATTAGTAACGCCCTGGATGGGTCCCAGGACAAGATGTGCCTGCAACACAGGCGCGACGAGCTTGAGGGCGACGAAATAGACATCGACGACGACATTGCAGCAGATGGCTTTTTCTGCAACAACGTAGAAGAACCAGAGTCGGACTCTGAGGCCGACCCGGATGATCCTACCGCAGCTGATGACTAGATTACGTAGATCTAGAAATTGTTGTAGCCTGTGAGACTCGTAGGTAGATTTAGAACTGTAATTAGAAAAAACTTTAGACAAATTGACTTTGTAATTAATTAGATGAAAATATACAATGTTAATGTGGTTAGTGAAGCGTGTAGAATTTTTTTTTTTTTTTAAAGTGGCAGTTATAATGTGTAAGGTACAGGTATGCGGCTATAATCCGTACGACTCTAGGGTATGCGCTTATAATCGAGGAGGGGATATAAGCGCCATATGCCAATTAGAAGCGCCAGGCGCTTATCCTAGGGTGGCGCTTATATCCGGGGGGTGACGGTACCTTATCTCAGTTGAGTGGAACTGTACGGTGCTGCGCAGTGTATCATGCGATGAGAATGTCTGATCAAGCTGTGTAATGTGGCTTACTGTCGAGAGTAAAGGGAAGGAAAGGTGTGTTGACTATCGAGAGAGTTGCGTACAAGTAACAAACCCTATACCCTACATTGGCTATCCCACTACAGCCTACATATCATTATAACATATACATCTAGTTTGACATACCCCCATAGGCAAAGTGGGGGAGAACAAGGGGTCAGGTCACAAGACCTGTCAAGAAAAGCAAAGCAAGCTCGGGGTGGATCACAACGTCACCACACACACCAAACATAAGGCCAGTTCACATGCTGATGTATATATACAACAACAGCAGTCCAGTGATCGCTACCTAGCAACGAAAAGCATGTAGGTATATATATGTAGATCGCATCACAAGCAAAGTCTACAGCGAGAAAACGTAGGCACAATGCCTAACATAGTACAAAAGCGCTGATGATCACCAGACGAAAGTGCCTCGGTGAATATATCAGCAGTGTTGGCCCGAGTGGCCCCGTGAGCAACACGAAGCTGACCACGCTGCTGCAACTCTTGAGCCAGGAAGTAACGCAGAGCGATGTGCTTCGTTCTGTGCTCCAGTCTGTGCACCTGACACAAGGAAATGGCGGCCTTGTTGTCTACATACAGAACTGGAGGAGAACGAGGCCGCTCTCCCAAGTCGGTCAGCAGGTAGGTGAGCCAACGTAGCTCCTGTGCAACCATGGCAGTGGCGTAGATCTCAGCCTCACAACTGGAGCTGAGAACAGAAGACGAGCGTGTAGACCGCCACGAAACAAAGCCAGAGCCAAGGCTGAAGGTGTAACCCTGTGACGACTGCTGCGTAGCTAGGTCGTCAACCAAGAAGCGTCTGAGTGCCCAGTAAGGACAACTGGGCTCCGCCCTCCAAGCACGAGCCCCATGCCCGATGTACTGCACAAGTAACGTAGTACCCTCTTAGCAGCATCCGTGTGCACCTTTCGGTGCCTACTAGGAGCCACGTAGCGAGCGAGAATGCCAAGAGAGTACGCAAGGTCAGGTCGAGTGCAGGTCATCAGGTACATGAGGCAGCCCACTAGCTCTGAGTACGGACCACTCGGCTCTACATGTTAGAGGTCCACTAGTGATCCCCGATTGATTCTAGGGAAGGGTTACAGGCATGTTGGTCTGGGGGGTTATGGACGCACTCACCCACTACACAAACAAGCTCTTTTATCCCAATGGTCTAGTGGTTGGGATTCAGACACTACGGACTCGTCCGAAGGTGGAGCTGAGAGCGAGTGACCTGTAGCCAGAGGAGTGGACTATGGCGAGGACCAGGTGAAGGCGAAGCGTTGAAGGACCTGCTGCACCATGTGTGACTGAGTTAGTGTGATGGTGCGCCGTGCTCTGTCCCGGGTGATTTGCAAGCCAAG